TTTTTTTTTTTTTTTTTTTTTTTTTTTTTTTTTTGGTACCAGGGATCAAACTCAGAACCTTGCACTTGCAAGGCAGATACAGTGCCACTGAGCTAAATCCCCGGCCTACCTAGGGTATTTTTTAATCTCAGGTCTTTATAAATATACTTGAAGTTTACTATGAAAATCTCACAATCTTTCTTCTTCCCTGGAAGTAATTGGTATTCTAAGATTGATGCCTGTCATTTCTTTGTATGTTTTTCTACCTTAAAAGTATTTATAGTCATAAGATATATATCTATATATGTATATATAATATTTATATATAATGTGTATATATATTTTTTGCATCATCTTAAACTTCAACTTGATGGAAAAATAATGTATGTCTAGCATTTTACAGCATGCTTAGGGCTGGGGATTTAGCTCAGTGGTTCTGTGCCTGCCTTACAAGCGCAAGGTCCTGAGTTTGATCCCCAGTACCAAAACAAAACAAAAAACCAAAACCAAACCAAACCAAAACAAAATACAGCATGCTTTATTTTCACTCAGTTTTTTACTTTTGTCCATGATAAAACATGGCTGTTCATGTTGATTTATGCATGTTGATTTGTTACTCCATTCATTTTAACTTTTATTTAGTAAATCATTAAATGAATATTGAATAGTGAGCCTTCTATAAATACTCCTTTTCATGTCACCTTTTGCATAGGTCTTAGAGTATTATTTGAATTGAAGTGGATGTACATTAGGTTTGTCACTTTAAAATTATTCTTTAGGTTACTTTCCCACAGACAACATAAAATAGTTTCTGTTTTTCTGTAACTAAATCAATACTTGGTTAATACTTAAATTTTGCAAAATGGTTATGAAATGATATCTTACTGTAATAGCAAGTGATCTTCCTTTTACTTAATTGCCTTTTAACCTGCGAAGCTTAACACTAATTTTGTCATAAAGGCACATAAATGTGGATATATAAGATTCAATGTTTATTCTTTAGAATTTCTTTTTTTTTTAATTTTTAAGAGTAGGAAACATTTATTGAGAGAAAGCAAGTATAAGAGAGACAGAAAGGGGAAATGAGTTGTTTCTTTTTTTTTTTTTTTGGTACCGAGGATCAAACTTGGGACCTTGCACTTGTGAGGAAGGCAGCAGAACCACTGAGCTAAATCCCTGGTTCTTTATAATATTTCTATTGAGGAATTATTAATTTTAATTTTATGAGTTTTATTATATTAATGTGTACTTAAGAGGAAAAAATCACAAAAATAAAAGTTGAATTTTTAATATTTATTGAATATTTATAAAAAAGCATCAAAGCTTTCAACTTTGACTTCTTTGGTGTACAAAGTCTGAAAAAGAACAACATAGAAATTCTTATATGAACTACAGTGAAAATACTAATAGCTCTTTACAAAAAAAATTCTTCATTTCAATTATCACACCTAAGCCAGTCTGCACACATGACAACAGCATGTTCCATACACATGTATTGCTTACACTGACAGTACATGTGTTTTGCTTCTGGCCTTTTTGTAGGACATACTTGACATCTCACTAATCTGTTTTGTCAGTAGTTTCTAAAATACAAATAAAATGCAGTGTTAAATTCTTTATATGTATTGTTTGTCTAGAATAGGCATCAGCATTTTTGCATCAGCTTTGTATTTACTTACAGAACCTGAAAGAACATCAGAAATAAATTCCTATATGAATTACAGTGAAAATACCAGTAGAACTCTATGATAGAAATAAGCTTTGCTTCAATCGTCACATCCAAAGAAGTCTTTATGACAACTGCATGTTCTGTACAGATGTCTTGCTTACACTGACAGCACATGTGCTTAGCTTTCCTTTCCTATGTTGCAGTCTTGTCACTTTTCTTCTCCCTATTTTTTTAGGAGCTTCCTGCTATATTGTACCACTTACATGTAGCAGAGAAATAAAATATAAGAATATAAAATATCAAATATATAATAAGTGCTTAGAATAGACATCACCATTTTAACATCAACTATTTACTTGCTTACAAAACCTAAAAGATAACATCAGATAAACCTATGTGAACTACAATGTAAATAAAAACAAAAGTCTACCGCAGAAATAATCTTTACTTCAACATCATACCCAAGACTCTTCACACATGACAGCTGCATGTTCCATACACAAATATTGCTTACATTAATAGCACATATGTTTTGTTTTCCTGTCTCATCAACATCACCTACTCCATCTTTGATTTTGTTGTAGAAAGTTTCATCTCAGGCTTTTGTTTTGTCAAGGTTTCCCTATCAGTATTTCCATCATAGTGCAATGTTGACATCAGCAGTACCAATTTGTTTTTCTTCGCCATGTACTACGCCAGTGTAAATCTTTCTGAAATCCAAAGATTGTACTATACAATTCTCTTGTTTTGAAATTGCAATATTTTCATTTGGAATTTCTGCTTTGTTCCTGTGTACAGTTCCTGTACGGGTTAACTTGTGCTCTTTTAGCAAATGTAACATCAATTGGAAACTGGTAAATCAATTGTCAAATGTCACATTCTTATTAGTTTGGGAGATTGGAGCAGTAAGTCCCTTTGCAGCATCAGGATAAATGTCTAAATCAAAAGCATAATAAATCCTTGCATCTACAAGGGCATACATTTTTATGCCATTTTTTGACGCACTGGTTTTCCATACATTTTTTACATTCCTGCAATTACATTGAGAAGTCACTGCTAAGAGCTGGGTGTGGTGGTGCATACCTGTAATTCCAGCACTTGCAAGACTGAGGCAGGTGGATCACCATGAGTTTGAGGCCAACCTGGGCTATATAGTGAGGGCCAGTCTGAACTACAAAACAAGACTCTTGTCTCAAAACACACACACACACACACACACACACACACACACACACGCATGCACATA